CACTCCCAGACCAGGGTCTTCTGACGGACACCAGAGGATCCTCCTGCTACGCCAAAGCCCTCCTCTCCTTGCCCTAGGTTAAGTCCAAACCCTGTCCCAATTCTTGTCCCTGCAGGACTTGAGTCCCTCCCAGTGCTTGCCGGCAAAGCCATCCCGGCTTTGATGACCTAGATGCCTGCCTGGGAGCTCTGCTTCCCCCAAGCTCTGGCCTGAGAGGAGCAGAGTGCTCTCCTTGGACCTCAAACCTGGGCTGCCATCTTCTGCTTACCTCTGGAAGGCCCCACTGACCAAGGAGAGGGTGCTTACTAGGTAGTGGGGGGAGTGGGGGGGCGGTCACAGAGCTGATCTGTGACAGACGGCAGGCCCCAGGGTGGTGGTGAGAATATCCCGGGCAGGGCGCCTGGGTGGCTCAGTTGGTTAAGCGACCGCCTTCAGCTCAGGTCATGATCCTGGAGTCCCGGGATCCAGTCCCACATCGGGACTGGAGTCTGCTTCTCCCTCTGACCCTCTTCCCTCTCCTGCTTTCTATCTCTCATTCTCTCTCTGAAATAAATAAATAAAACCTTTAAAAAAAGAATATCCTGGGCAGTGGCCAATCAGAACAAATGCTGGCCAAACACAACCAATGAGGCCATATTGCTGCATACTTGTTAAAGATTAGCCTCATCAGGCTTCTGCCCAAGTCAATGACTAATTACAGGTCCCACACGGTCAATATCGAAAATCAGTGCTCATATAAGGACACTTAACGTCCTGGCTCTCAGAGCCTTCCCTCCTGACCCTTCCCAGCTTCTCTCTGAAGAGGAATCAAAAGCCTTGGCCTTAAGAAAACGGACACTGAGGTCCTGTCCCCGCGAGCTCAACTGTAGTTACTAAACAACGCAGCCCTGTTTTCTAATCCTAGGCACACACGAGATGCCTGGATCCTGGTGGTCTTTCCCTGTCCTCTCCCGAAGCCAAAATGACTCCCCTCGGGCCCCAGGGGTCTCCAGGGACACACGCATGAGCTAGCCGACCGCTGAGAGTGCTATCAATCCCACAGCTTCCCCCTCCTCCCTCCTAAACGGTCGGGCAGCTCTTGCTCCTCCTCTTCCGGTTCCAGCGATTGGGCCTCCGCGGGCGGGAGGAGGGGTGTGGAGGAGTCAGGGTGGGGGGAGTCGGAGGAGGGGAGGCGGGGCCTGGAGGGCCGGGGCAGGGCCATTCGGACCCGGAGGGGCGGGGCTTCGCCGGACAGCCTGAAACCTGGTGCACACCGCAGAGCTGCTGTCTCCCATCCCAGCACCCCGAGGTCTGGACCAACCTGGCTTCACTCCAGGCAGTTCCTACACCGAATACCGCTTCATCCTGTCTACCCAGGCCAGAGGTCCCAGGGTGGTGGCGCAAGGTCTGGGGCATCAATAAGCCATCCTTCCTTGGAGAGATCAGAGAGATCCTCGCCCTCCAGCCCGCTTCGCCTGAAACTTCGGCAATAGAGCCTCCTTAATGTTTAAAGAAAACAAGGACAAAACACTGGCAACCTAACGTGTCCGCTGTGGAACAGCTAAGCTGCCGGGAGGGCATCTGGGCAAGGCTGGTGAACAGGGAGCCCATGCATCTTGGAGTCAGGGTGCCTGCTTTTCACAGAGGCTCTGCCACGCTCCCTTCTGACTTTGCAGTCTGAGAGCTCTGGCTTCATTTCCCTTGCCAGCTTTGAACTACCTAAGTGAACCAAGTTGCTTAACTTCTCTGAAGCTCAGTTTTCTCATCAACATTTACCTGCCCAGGTTGCTGTGAGGACTAAGAAAAGTAATGCATGTGCAGTGCCCAGCACAGTCTCTGGCGCATAGCAGGGTTTCACAAATGCTAATTCCTCCTTCCCCCCAAAAAGGAAGGGATTACTAGATCTCATTTTTCTCTACCTCATAGTTTTTCAGTGGAGTTTATCAGTGGAGTCCACCTCTCCTATGCTGAGGCCATCTTTGCCTGGTTGTTGAGAAGTGATCCAGAAACATAGGCTTGGGGAATGTTGGAGCTGGAAGTCTTGTTCAAATGGACTTCCTTATTTCGCAGCCCTGGAAGGTCAGGGCCTGGCTCCCACAGCAGGTAGTGGGGAGGGAGGTATTAGGACTCAGCCTTCTCACCTGAGGATTTGCATCATGGTCTGGGACTGGAAACTCCCACTCTTCCTGCCCACATTATACAAATGACCTTAGTTCCTGAGACGACAGAGAAGCAGCTCAAACCCCAGAGAACAAGGAAGAAAGGCTGTTGGTCCCTGCAGTCACCACTCCCTTTTAGAAGCCTGGCAATACTGTCAGGTGCTTTTGACCTTCACTGTTGTGTGACCCAGCTCTGTGAACTTTATCCACCCTCACATCACAATCAAATTGCTCTCTCATTTTACAGGCCAGGAGCTGAGCCCAGAGAGGCCATGCAACTCTAGTTTGGCCCATTTGGGTTTGTTGGGATCAATATTTGCACTCCCTGCACGTTTCTCCTGGGCAATATCCAAATGTCTGGCATATCCAGGGGACATGAGTCAAGCCCACTTACAGAGTTTCTATCTCTATCTCAATCCATTTGTCTCTTGCCTCTCTCCTCTCTCTCTCTGCATGAGCCAAACTCACTCAACAGGCTCTGTCTTCCCCTGCTTCCCCCATGCACAGGGCTTGGGGGAGTGGGTCCTAGCACACCATAGCTCTCTGAGGAAGAATCTCTCACAAATACCCTTTCAAAAGCTTCTCTAATCCCTCTTACCTGGGAGAGGTCTAAAGATCTGGGTGATGTCCTCTGGGAGAGACATCAGTCACACATTCCACGAGAAGGAAACTTCCCCTCCCTGCACCTTACCCGAACCACCCTGTAATTCACTGCAGCTCATCACAGTGCCCTAGCCAGTGAGGCTGATGAGGGACCATGAAACCTTAAGTGACCCTCAGACACCAGGTCTGTAGAAGACCTGACTGAAGACACTGCTGTCCCGTGAGCTTTTACAAACACGAGGGCTCCTTCTGTCTTGCCCAGAGTGCTGGGTTCCAAAAGCGCCCTCTTTTCAGCCTTTAAAGCATCCCTGACTTTTTCCTCTCGGCAAACTACTCATGGAATTTCTGATTGTTCCCTTGCCTGGCTGGTTAATGACCTCAGCTCTGACATTTTTTAGCCCTGTTGGTGTTTGTTTTAGCCTTGAGCATCTACTATGTTTGTGTTTCAGGCAAAACTAAAAGATTCCCATGGTCATATCCTGTTAGAACACGATTCAGAAAAAATAGTGTTTCTGTTTCCCTTGACAGCCAAGGATTAGAAAGTTGAAATGCTCTCTCAAATCTCACAAAACCCAGAGTATGTACCGGGCTTGTGTGATTGGTGTTGTTCAAGCAGCGCCAGCTTCAGCAGCATGGGACCTGTGGATTTGCAAAAGACCCCGCGCTTGCAAACGTCCTGTCCCTGACTCGATACTGTCCTGAAATTCAAACAAGGAACCTCATTTTCCTTTGCAGTAGGCCTCATAAATTGTGTAGCTGGTGCTAGGTGCTGGGTGCTGGGGGTACAACTGTGGGACAACTCCTGCCCTCCAGGACTTTACAATCTTGGGCAGGTGGGTGAATAGTTCATTTACATTCAGAGTACCAAAAGTTTCAGCTTCAAAGAATTAAACACACAGGCGGAGTAGTTCACCCACAAGGATTAGTGAGTGTTAGCTACTGATGGAGGGTTTGGGGCTGGGGGCGGTGAATGGAGGGGGAGGGGTGGGGAGGAAGGGTTTCAAGGTAGAATGTGGAAAGCGTGAAGCCCCAGAGGAATGACAGAGCATGGAAACAATCTATCATCAGGAAACTGTAAATAGTCAGGCTAGAGCTGAGGATTGTCCTTGGAGAAAGGCAAAGGATGGACAGGAGAGTGGGCTAAATTAGAAAGTGTCTTGTATTAGCCTGCTCAGACTGCCATAATCAAATAGGGCAGACTGGGCGGCTTACACAACAGACATTTATTTCTCACAGTTCTGGAGGCTGCAAGTCAGAGAGCACGAGGTCAGCAGGGCTGGTTTCTCCTGAGGCCTCCCTGTGTGGCTTGCGGATGGCCGCCTTCTCACCGTGGCCTTTTCTCTGAGCTTGTTTGCCCTAGTATCTCTTTTTTTTTTTTTTTTTTTTTTTTTAAGACTTTGTCAGACAGAGAGCAAGAGCACAAGGAGGGGGAGCGGCAGGGAGAGGGAGAAGCAGGCTCCCCGCTGAGCAATGAGCCCGATGCGGGACTCGATCCCAGGACCCTGCCTGGGATCATGACGTGAGTTGAAGGCAGACACTTAAGCCACCCAGGCGCCCTCTTCTTCTTTTTTATAAGGACACCTATCATGTCAGATTAGGATCACACCCTTCTGCCGCATTTAAGGTTAATTACTTCCTTAAAGGCTCTATGTCTCAACATAATCCATTCTGAAGTACTGGTGGGGGTGTGTGGGCGTTGACATGTACATTTGGAGGGAACACAACCCAGTTCCTTACTGGTTAGCTCTCTATGTGGGCGTTTAATCTTTATCTTTTATTTTTCTTTTTTTAAAGATTTTATTTATTTATTTGACAGAGGGAGAGGGAGCGAGAGCAGGAACACAAGCAGGGGGAGCGGGAGAGGGAGAAGCAGGCTTCCCGCGGAGCAGGGAGCCCGATGCGGGGCTCGATGCGGGGCCCGATGCGGGGCCCGATGCGGGGCCCGATGCGGGGCCCGATCCCAGGATCCTGGGATCATGACCTGAGCCGAAGGCAGACGCTTAACCACTGAGCCACCCAGGCGCCCCTAATCTTTATCTTAAAAGTCTTGTGAAACCACTCCTCCTCATCCAGACAACCCTAGGGGATATATGGGCAAAGTATATTAAGTCAGCTCACAGAACAGGAAATAAAGCTTTGAAAAATAATTAAAAAAAAAAAGCTGGAAATGAACCTTATTCATGAAAAGAGGAAGATACATGTTTGACTGACATTCTTATGAAAATTTCTTCTAAAAGCCAAGAATAAAATATTTTAAAGCTGTTTATATAGATTTTATTTCCGTTTCAATACCGTGTCACTCAGAATTACACATGTGGTTATATCCTAGAGTTCTTCCTTTGAATTATGTGCAGATCACAGGATTAGATTTTCCTAGTTGAAACATTAAATAATATTGAAACACAGAGAGTAAAAACTGGAAGTTTTCCTCCCATTCCCCCTCAAAACCTTTCCCAGAGATAACCTCTGTTAAAGGTGAAGGCTTAGCCTTTTAAACTTTTTCCCAGACTCACATACATGAATTTACGTGTAGACATACAGGTCTGTTCACATAAATGCGTGCATCATGCTAGGCACGTTGTACTGAAAGCTGTATTTTTCATTTAATTTGTTTTCATGACCTTTTTCAGGAACTGCATATAGACCCTTCACAATTTAAAAAATGTTCTGCAGAGTATTGCATAATATAAATGAAATAAATTCTTCTCCTATTGTGGAAAAAATAAAATTCAAACAGTTAAATTGTAAGGCCCCCAGTCGGTGTCCCTGAGAAGTGGAGAACTGCTTGGTGTGGAAAAACCCACACAACTGGTGTCAAAAGTATTTAGTAGGAGGAGGGAGAAACGGTGTTTCTCTTCGTTTGCTTATATGCCACCCATAACCAGATGAGGGAAAAATGCTCTCACTTACAATTATTATAATGACAATAAAATTTAGAAATACCATAACAACAAAAACAAAACTATGTCTCTCTCTCTATATATATATATATATATATAGAGAGAGAGGGAGATAAAAAAGATTTGAATAAATGGATACTCCTCACATTTCCCGAACAAGACTAAACCCTGTAAATAGATTAATTTATCCCCAAATTTATATGTTTAATGTCACACTAATCCCTCCAAAAAATACCAAAGTTAAAAACATTATTTTGAGTATTGCAAAATTATTCTGACGTTCACCTTGAAGAATGAAGATGAGAAAAATCACTGTGAACACTGGGGAAAAACAGATTATTTACAATTAATGTTGAGAAATTGGCCATTTGTAAATAAATACAATTGTATATTCTCCTGAATGTCAACAACACAAAAACAAATTTCAGATGGATTAAATAGTTCAATCAATTAAAAACATAACAGTTTAGAAGAAAATATAGGTGACACGCTGGCTTCAATGGGAAAGTATTTCTAAGAATTGAAAGCAGTGTCAAAAATCACTACGGAAAAAAACCTAGATTTGACTATAGGAATAAAAAAACCCTGTTCATTAATAAAACATCATAGCAAAATTTATGAAAAGTTTCTCACCAATAAAAGAAATACAATAGGTGTGTATGCTTGTATAATATATACTACAGAGATTTTTTTACTCTACGTAAGTAAAACTTATAAGTTGTTAAACTATATATATATATATATATACACATATATATTTTTTTTTTACTCAACATCATCTATCCATAAGACTGAATGTACACCTACTTTGTACTTTGGTCTAACTCATACAGTGTCACAAAGTATGCCCACATCTTCATTACCTATTCCCATTGAGATGGACACTTAGGTAGCTTCCAATTCATTGCCAACATAGATGAAGTTGCAGTGAACCCCCTTGTGCCCGTACCTCTGGGGACCTGTGCAATGACATCACTGGGCCACACACCCAGAAATGAGCACAGAGCAGACACCAATTGAGTTCACTGCCAGATTGCTTCCTATCTGGGCCATATTGGTTCTTGTTCCCATAAGTGCTCCTAAATTTCCCTACTTCCTGGCTGATGCTGCATGGTATCCAACTTTCTGACACCAATCCGATGGATGCTGAGCAGTATCTCATGGTATTTTATTTGTATTTTTCTGATTACTAATTGACTGCCTTGTTCTCTTTGATTTGCAGGAGTTCTTTGTATACCCTAGTGTTAATTCCTTACTGATTTTTTATAATATTTTCTTTCAGTCTGGTTATGGATTCCATTCATGGAATGGATTTGATATATATATGCCAGTTGTATAATTTTTCACCTTATCACTTGTTTAGATATTATTTTTTAATCTATTATCAACATCCTTTTGCAATTCAAAAGCAGTTATAGGTGTTGAGACAATTGATACCCCTTTTGCAAAAAAATTAAGTTGGACCCTACCTCACATCGTATACATCAAAATGGATTAACGTTCTAAATTTAAGAGCTAAAATCATAAAAGTCTTATGAAAAAAATAGTTGTAAATTTTCGTGACTTTGGATTTGACAAAGGATTCTTACATATGATACCATAAGTATGAGTAACAAAAGAAAAAGTAGATAAACTGGACTTCATTGAAATTAAAAACCTTTGTGGATCAAGGGCATTATCAAGAAAGGGAAAATATAACCTAAGCAATGGGAGAGAATATTTGCAAACGATATATCTGATAAGGGTCTTGTATCCAGTATATATAAATAATTCTTACAACTTGACAACGAAAAGACAACCCAATGAAAAAATGAACAAAGGACTTGAATAGACTTATCTCCAAAGAAGATATCCAAATGGCCAGTAAGCACATAAAAAGATGCTCAACACTATTAGTCATAGGAAAATGCAAATAAAACACACAATGAGATTTCACTTCCTACCCACTTACAGAGGCCACCATTTTTTTATAAAAAGAGGGGTGGGAAATAACAAGTGTTCATAAGGATGTGAAGAAACTGGAACCCTTAATACAACAGCTATCCAAACAAATACATGTATGTGCATGTTTGTAGAAGGATTACTCATACATAGCCAAAAGATGGAAACAAATCAAATGTCCACCAACGAATGAACGGATAAACAAATCTTATGCTACAGCTATATGGTGGAATATTATTCAATCATAAAGAGAGATGAAGCACATGCCACAACATGAATGAGCGTGTCATCCTGAATAAAAGCCAAAAACAAAAGGCCATATGTTATATAATTCATTTATATAAACTATCCAGAGTAGGTAAATCCATAGAGATAGAAAGCAGATTGGCAGTTGCCAGGAGTTGGATTGGGGGTGGGGGGAGTAACTGCACAGGGTTTTCCTTTGGGGTGATGAACATTTTTTGGAACTAGATAAAGGTGGTGGTTGCACAACATTTTTAATGTACTAAGGCCACTGCATTGTTCACTTTAAAATGGTTAATTTTATGCTTTGTGAATTTCACCTCAATAACAAATTCTTTAAAAAGGCCCCAATAATGTCACTGATATCTAATCACTTTCTTAAAAAATTACAGAGCTCATCTATGATCAAATTACTTACTGCTGCATTGTACATGGCACATAGACACGTAAAATATAGTCCCAACCCCTGAGGAATTTAAGGTCCAGTTGGAGAACACAGATGATTAATAAATAAAGCAACCGCCATAAGAGAAATGCCCTCCCTCGGTATGCAATGAGAGTTCAAAGATGCACACCTGCTTATGTAGAAAAGGAAAATTTTCCTGGAGATGACATTGGAAATGAACTTTAAGAGTTGAGAGGAATTTTTGTTAGAGTTGGAGGTGGAGAAAATACAAGAACAGAAGGAAAGGGGCTCCCTACAAGGGGATCACATGATAAGTTTAAGGACATTACCTCGTCCAACCTGGCTGTCATAAAAGCTACTCTGGCATGAGTATTAAAGACCAGGTGTCAAAAGACCATGACTCTGCCCCCTTTGTCTCCAATGCCTGATGCCCTGTTTGCCACCTACTTAGTGAGGCATGAATGTCAAAGATAAAATAAAAATGTGCATTAAAGCTTTCTAAAAAGCCCATGCACCAGGCAGAGTATAAAATAATAGCCTCAGGTAGCAGCATTTATTACTACTGAAACAGGCTAAGGCAAGTATGCAACCAGATTTGAGGTACAAGGCAGAACACAGTGTCACTAGAATGAATTACAAGGGGAATGAGGGGGCAATAAGTCTGGGGCCATCTAGGGAAACTTTGCATTCCATCCTATAGGATTCGGACTGCACTTTAAATACTACAGGGAAGCATTAAGGTCTCTTGTCCCATGAACTTGGCTAAGTAGGGCAAATGAGTGGTCAGGATGGGGAGAGCTGGGCGTGGAAAAGCATGGGATCGAGATGCTGGAGGCATGTGCCCTCACCTTTGCACTGCGCTTCGAAGGCCCATCTTCCCAGGGTATGGAACAGGGCAGGAGGGCACAGAAAGAGGGGAATGCTCACCCTTACGGAGAGGAAAACCTGCCACAGAACAGAATAGTGTTGGCCACATTGTGCCTAATGAAGAAAAGGAAGGGGTGGTCGGCGCAGAACGTGGGGCCAGAATCCATGCAGCACTCCACAACCAAGATGGCTGAAGCAGCCGCGGCCTCCGTGCCTTCCTCGTTCACCTCCACAAAACTCTTGTGCACAAACTTGGACAGACACAGATCTCTCTCGCCTGACATTGCCGAAAAGTCAGCCTCGTCCTCCTGAAAGGCATCAACCATTCCCAGACCCCGGAGCACAGATTCCATGTCATAATCCTCTTCCAGCTGAAATCTCGGAAGGAAAACTTCCACTTCGGTGCTCTGCATACGGTCTGGCTTGGTCCAGGCTCTGAATTTCTCCAAAGTGAGATTTTTTTCCACCTGAAGGACCAGAATTAGACTTTAAAATTCATACTTCCATACGTAAGGCCACGCACACCCACATACCCTTCCTCCTCTCGGAGATGGGTGGTAATTGTCCCATGGAACCAGGGGCACCTTTCTGCGCCGGGAAATTTCTGAGATCTCGGACTTGTGCTATTCCAACGGCGCTCCCTTGCCAAGCAGGCAAGACGTGAGGCAGCCCCGAGGCATAGAAACAGCGGCCGGTCCTCTCCTTACCCAACAGTATCTACAAGCCATCTTTCATCCTGACAACACTCAATGCCCCGCTGACTGTGATATTCTTTTTCTTTTTCCTTTTAACTGTGCTTATTTTTTGAAGATGAGACATTGCTGGTAAGAAAAACAATTGGAAAAGAAAGGGCTCTTGCTGGAGCAATTTGATTTGCCAGAGGTGCAATCCTGTGTACATTCATTCTGAAGAAGAGATGTCACGTGGCAAAGACACACAGAGAGCCCCTGGCTGCAGCTCGGCTCACGCAGGCCCCTTGGGACACTGGGAGTGCTGTGTGGTCCTCAGCGCCCGGGCCTAGAAGCTCCTGGGCCCAGAAGCTCCTGGGCCATGGATGACTCTCACACTAGGGATCCATGTTGAAAGGAAGCAAAGTGAGTTGGGAGTGCCGTCTGGGGCTGTTTCTGGCCCTGATCTCCTGACTTTCGAGGTCTTGATATTTAAAATATAATGCAGGGGCGCCTGGGCAGCTCCGCTGGTAAAGTGTCTGCCTTCAGCTGGGTCATGAGCCCGCGCTGGGCTCCCTGCTCAGTAGGGAGTCTGCTTCTCCCTCTCCCTCTGCCTCTGCCCAACCCCCACTGTTCATGTGCACTCTCTCTCCCTCTCTCTCTCTCAAATAAATAAAATCTTTTAAAAAATAAAGAAATAAAATATAATGCTAACAACGATTATGATAATAATAATGGATCATATTTATTCAGGGCTTATTATGTACCAGACAATGTGCTAAAAGCTTGTTACTCGAACCACCCCCATTTTATCCTCATAGTAACTCTCAGGCAGATGTTATCACCATCCCTGTTTTCCATGTGGGAAAGCAGAGTAAAGAAATTTGGCGAGATCACATAGATAATAATGGGCGAAGTAGGTCCTGAATGACAGTTTGGTTCCAAAACGCGAGGGTCTGAATACTGTGCTCTGTTTCCTGGTTGCCCACATCATTGACTTAAAAGGTAAACATAAATGTTCAAAGTGGTGCTTGAGTTCCAGCAGGAAGGATGCAAAGGGCGCCCTGGGGTTCTCACCAAGCTTAGATCCACGTTGTCGTCCGGGAGCAGAATGACCATGCTCAGCTCCTTACCCTCGTAGGGCAGCTCCAGGACCTGGGTCTGCACCTCTTTAATATAGGCAAGCTTAAACGTAGCTTCCTGAAACATCATCTGCACTGGCTTTTGCTCCCTCTGACAGGAAGAAACATGAGCATGGAATTAAAAACAGATTATGGTAAGAGGCAATAAAAATTTCCAAAGGAGCTATAATTGACTCCAGGAGTGTTTTCATCACCCATGATGGAAACGATATTCGTGTGCTAGTTCCAACTCTTTCCTATCATCGATACGAGGCATCTATGGTAAACAGAAATGGCGCTAGCCTAGGAAAGGAGATGTTTTATTCAGCAAAATAAACGTGATACTCTGCATTTCCCACAGGAGGAAATCAGATTTTCCTCATGTAAAATATGCCTGGCAAATATATCTAAGGAAACAATATAATCAAATATAATGAAATAGAAAATTATTTCTATTTAACTGGAAAAAGTTTTTATGATAAAGAAGAGACTGAAGAGTTTCACAGCAGTGTGACTGGTGGCATAAGGAGACAGCCCCTCAGGAAGCAGTCGGCCAGCAAGTAGAAAGAATTACGTATCTCCTCCTGTATTTAAATGCAGTCGTTTCAGTTCTGATACTCTAATCCAAGGAAATAGTTTTCTAAAAATACAGAAGAGGTATATGCACGCAGAAATTAATTGGACTACTATATTCATTAAAGTTTTAAAAGTTGATATGGATCAGCTATTCTAAAAATTAGAATAGTTTCTAAAATCATAGCTAGAAAAGTTGTCCCCCTTCCACTTTTGTAACTAGAGGGCTGATTATGTAAAGTACACTTTATGCCCCACCCCCCAAAAAAAGGTTTTACCTGTACAGTACAAGTTTCCTAATTGCATTAAAATGGTATTTTTTTTTTTTTTTAGGGGCTGGGAGATTTGGCAAGCTATTTTAATGCCTGCCTGAACCGAAGTTATACCTCAATAGCAAGACTGACATCTTTGTCAGTTAGTTTTAATATTAGAAACTTTTAATACTAGATTAATAGTGATTAATTAACAATAATTCAAGTCTATACTTATTTTAATTTTTCAAATATCTGATTAAAGAAATATTCACTCCTTCTATCCACTTGCCCAACACAAACACATATCTTACTTCCTTAACACGTTTTTTGCTTTCTGTTAAGCAACTTAAGCTTAGAGGAAAAGTCTTAAGTTTCCAGAACTAGGTGGCAGCAATGAATGTAGGAGAAATTATCAGAGGTAGTAGGAATAGTAATAAAATGCAAAAAATCAGAGGCAGCAAATAATTTTTATTTCTCAGTTCTTTTCTCCTGAGTTTAAAATTTCATTCAGAAACGTGTTAAGTTTCAAAATTATTTCTAACCAATCATTTATGCCTTTACAAAGTTAACTTTTTCCATTCAATTTCTTCATGAAACTAGAAGGATTTTGGAAAGCTTCTCTCACCTGGTTTATTTTAAAAGGCATTTCCCTTGTGTACATTTTGTTGAACTGTTCATTCCACCTTCCTTTGAAGTAGATGGCATTGACAAGAACCAGCCTGGTGTGTGCATTGATTGAGTTACTTGGCAATAATTCTCGAATTTTACCTTCCAAGAAAAGTAGAGAATATATTCAGTTGGTTTTTTACAGAAGTGTGATGAATAAATCGTAATAAGGCTTACTGACAGATCCTCAACTATTAATCAAGAACCAAACATTCTTTTCTTTTCCAAATTTGGTGAGCTTGGATTGCTATGTGCAGAAATGAAAAAAGAACAATCCACACAAGTGGTTTTCATGGTCAGGTCATCAATGCTGTGGGTACACCCACAAAATCCATGACGTTGAAAGGTTTCTAAATCACTCAGAGAAAACACTACATGAGGTCAGATAGCAAGGCAAGCGGGAAATGAGAGAGGGGCTGGGAGGGACTTAGGTTCTCTCATGTCCTAAAATGGAGCGTTTGGTTTAATGCACCAAAGGTACAATGCGTGCTAACATTCCACAACCATGTCCACATGTCAGAGGCAGCCAGAATGAATGACTCAAAGGGGATATAGTTGACAATGGGCAGCATGGGTGCATTGAGGAGCTTCTGGAAGCACCTGGAAGAGATTTCATTATTTGATCCTCTAAACAAAATACCAGACATTCCTGGAAAAGGTAAGGTGGGCAAGTGAAAGATACTCCCTTCTTCCCTAGATATCAAGTTGTACCTTTCCAATGAACTAAGAACATCCCTGCTAATTCCCTGCCTCCAGATGGCATAAGTAGCAAATATTCCAAGAAGAAATGGTAGCAATAACTGCTAACTCTCTAAGGAGAGACAAACTCTTGTTCTCTATTGTCTGACTTATTGATAGAAATAGGACTGTTCCTAGTGGTACTAAGTAGAGTTGGTGCAGAGGGTCCTGAATGGTTCGAACGTCGTTGATCGTGCGGGCCAAGATCAGAACACACCACTCTGTAAAACAGAAACAAATAAGGCTCAACGCCAAAGAAAGGATGATTTCATTCTAGAGAACTGATCAGCTGTGAGAGAGCACCTGCATTTGGCCTACCAAATCTAGGCTTATCAAACCTAATTAAGGGAGCGTACGTGGAAGACATGAAAGCAGCAGCAGAATAAGTAAGCTTAATGTATAGGGTGAAAGTGGTGGTATGTGAGGTCCACAGAGAATTTCGAAGCCCAAGTGTATGTCTCAGAGAAGATCTGACCAATAGCCTCCTTCCTACGGAGGTGATGAACTCCCCCAACATGTGAATGTTATAGGCCAACTGAAAGTATGTTTCAGTGTAAGTTATTAAACTGGAAATCCAGCCTATGACTTTCTTTGGACATTTGTATCAGTCTTTCTTGTCCCAGGAGAATGGACAAAATTAAGTCTCTGTGGTTGAAAACCTGAGCATCTGATCAGAACCCTGTGAGTCCAAGAAGTTTCAAATACACCAAGAGGCCCAGCCCGTCAGCAGGCCTCTGACCATCTGAAACACTCGTGAAATCAGAGCATCAGGAAAAGCAAGGGGAGGAACAGGAAGGGGAGGAGAACCAGGGGAAAGATGAGAAGGCAGAGGGAGAAGGAAAAAGAAGGGGGTAATAACATGTAATTCTGACCTTCAGTCTTTTTTGAGACCCAAGTGTTGATATGTTTCCTGCACTGCTCCACAGCACTGGCAAAGGAAAGCTGCTCCAGCTCAGCACGGTAGAACCGAAGACAGGATTCCTTAAAGGTCTTTGGAGGGAAAAAGAGTTCAAATATGGCTATATTCCTAAATAAAGTTCAGGTTCCAAGAAAATTGGAATCTTACATACGTTTTATCAAAATGAGTATATATCTCTTAAAAAGTGGTCATATCTTAGTCTACTAGGTACCAAAATATCAGAGTCTATAAATAGGTAAGTACTAAGCCACAAATAACCAGAAATGGATAAGTGAATTTTAGAAGTAGTCAAATTTTAAATAATTCAAGGCACAGTGATAGCATTATGATTTTTTAAAAAAAAAAGTTTACCATAATTTTCAGTTCTCCAAGATCTTTCTTTCAGACTCCATATTTTGATTACAACTTTTATTGTTCTGCTGACTCAACTTACCGGGAGGAATTCACAAGTCTTTTCTCCAAAGAGCCTGTTGGCCGTTCTGAGCAAGTACTTGGTGCCAGGTTTGTTCACTTCAGCAAGAAGTGACTGGAAATTCTGATGAATGTCTTTCTCTGTGCTTAATGAAAGCACCTGTTGAGAAAAATAATTTTAAAATTTATCAAGATTGTTCTTTGGGGGGCAGCTGGGTGGCTCAGCCAGTTAAGTGTCTGACACTTGATTTCAGCTCAGGTCAGGATCTCAGGGTCATGAGATCAAGCCCTGCGTCAGGCTCTGCACTCAGTGTGGCGTCTGCTTCAGATTCTCTCTCCCTCTCTCGTTGCTTCCCCCCCTCCCCCAGCTGCTTGCATACTCTCTCTCTCAAAAAAAAACAGATTGTCTCAAAAAATCTGTAAGCAAAATTCTTTCTTAAATACTCTACAAAATTTTCCTTTAAAGGACACTGTTTTCTCTTTTAAAAAAGGATATTACATTCATTTTAATTGCAGATTTAATACATACTAGAGCAGCACTATGTGGGATGAGGAGAAGATACAGAGAGGAAAGGACAGAGAGAGAGAGGGAGAGAAGAGAAAACAGGGGAGTAAGACAAAATGGATGAAAGACCTAAATGTGAGACAGGAGTCCAGCAAAATCCTAGAGGAGAACACAGGCAGCAACCTCTGTGACCTTGGCTGCAGCAACTTCTTGCTAGACACGTCTCCGAAGGCCAGGGAAACAAAAGCAAAAATGAACTATTGGGACTTCATCAAGATAAAAAGCCTTTGCACAGCAAAGGAAATACTCAACAAAACCAAAAGACAACCGACAGAATGGGAGAAGATATTTGTAAATGACATATCAGATAACGGGCTAGTATCCAAAACTTGTAAAGAACTTACCAAATTCAACACCCAAAAAACAAATAATCCAGTCAAAAAATGGGCAGAAGACATGAACAGACATACCTCCAAAGACACGCAAATGGGCTAACAGACACACGAAAAAGTGCTCAACATCACTCGGCATCAGGGAAATACAGATCAAAACCACAATGAGATACCACCTCACACCAGTCAGAATGGCTAAAATTAACAAGTCAGGAAACGACAGATGTTGGCGGGGATGTGGAGAAAGGGGAATCCTCCTACACTGTTGGTGGGAATGTAAGCTGGTGCAGCCACTCTGAAAATACCCTATGACCCAGCAATTGCACTACGGGGTATTTACCCCAAAGATACAAATGTAGTGATCCGAAGGGCTACGTGCACCCCAATGTTTATAGCAGCAATGTCCACAATAGCCAAAATATGGAAAGAGTTCAGACGTCCATCGACAGAAGAATGGATAAAGAAGATGTGATATATATATATCACATTGTGTGTGTGTATCCACACACACAATGGACTATTACTCAGCCATCAAAAAGAACGAAATCTTTCCATTTGCAATGACCTGGATGGAACTAGAGGGCATTATGCTAAGTGAAATAAATCAGACAGACAAATACCATATGATTTCACTCATATGTGGAATTTAAGAAACAGAACAGATGAAAATAGGGGAAGGAAAGTAAAAATAAAATAAAAACAGAGAGAGAAGCAAACCATAAAACACTCTTAAGTACAGGGAACAAACAGGGTTGCTGGAGGGAAGGAGGGTGGGGGATGGGGAACTGGGTGATGGGCGTTAAGGAGGGCACGTGATGGAATGAGCACTGGGTGTTATGTGCAACTGATACTAAATTCTACCCCTGAAACTAGTAATACACTATATGTTAACTAAATTGAATTTAAATTAAAAATTTAAAAATTAAAAAAAACCAGGGGAGTAAGAATTGGCCTTTCTGCCTAAATAGATATCTATTGTTTATAGGTAAGTAATAGGAAGGGGCACCTGGGTGGTGCAGTCCGTTGAGCATCCAACTATTGGTTTTGGCTCAGGTCATGATCTCAGGGTCATGGGATCGAGCCCTGCGTCGGGCTCTGTGCTTTGTGGGGAGTCTGTCTGGGAATCTCTCTCCCTCTCCCTCTGCCCCTCCTGCTCGTGCTCTCTCTCTCTCTCTCAAACGAATAAGTAAACCTTTAAGAAAATAAAAAAGGTAAGTAATAGGAAAGAATGACAAGGATAAGAGGGGTTCAGAAAAATGGGCTATTACATGGGCGCCTGGGTGGCTCAGTCAGTTAAGCGACTGCCTTCGGCTCAGGTCATGATCCTGGAGTCCCGGGATCGAGTCCCGCATCGGGCCCCCTGCTCGGCGGGGAGTCTGCTTCTCCCTCTGACCCTCTTCCCTCTCGTGCTCTCTCTCTCTCATTCTCTCTCTCTCAAATAAATAAAAAATCAAAGAAAAAAGAAAAATGGGCTATTACAAAATCTTGCATCCCAAGGAAAACATTAAGTATGAAATGTACCCTATATAGAGTAAAATTTGCTTCTAAGATTACCAAGGAAAAAAGAACAACAACACATACAGTTAAAAGCATGAAAAGTTCACGGAGAAATGAGCAGAAATACAATCAGTGGGGAAAACATCACTTTCAGTCTCTGCCAGTGCACACAGAATCCGAAAGCTAGTTCTTTGAAAGAAGTTCCCTGAGTGCTATGAGTAGTAATGTGTATTTAGCATATTCAGTGCCACCGCCATCCAGCTGAGTACAGGAGGATAAGGAATTTCAATGTCTCTGAATACAAAGTAACCAGACAATCTTCAGGTTCTCAAAAAAAGCTCCCAGAGGGTTCATCAGTTAGCCTAAAAACACAGAAAAGTTCAGTAAGCCCAAAGAAGCCCCCTTCTACACGGAATCCTTCCTACCACAAGCTGAAAAATGATTGACATGAGTAGTCACCCCAGAAAGGGCTCTCAAGGGAAAAGAAAGTTATATCAAAACAAAGAGCCCCACTGACTAACACACGGATAGTGAAGATGTGTGTGGGGGCATGAGGTAAGCTTTTAGGTTTCAACTCGGGCACATGTCCCCTACCTACTCTATAAAACCCCTTCAGGACAGGGATGAATTCTTAATCATTTTCAGATGTTTGCTGAATGTTTAGTCCACATGCCGTCTGTATATGCAATAAAGATGTGCTTTTTTACCCACTTTGCATATTTTTGTCCATCCCCTTACTGAGCTAGGAAGGCATGGTGGTGTATTAATGACTTGAAATAGATATGAACCTCCCCTTCCTTACTAAAGAATAATTATAGCTATGAAATCTTTTACTCCAAAAATGAGAGCTCTCAGCTGCTTAGAGTTCCAAATAATTTCAGTATCATTTCCCAAAGATAAAGTGCTAGGATAAAATTCTGATAGTCTTATCCAGGTTATTAATAAGGGAACTTGCCCCCAAAAATATCTCAGGGAAGGAGACTCCGAGCCTTGTCCTTTGTGTCTTGGTCCCCAGGCAGTCCCACCTGTCAGACATAAGCACAGATGTATGTAAACACTGGGCACCCCTCCCACCCTGCTTTAGCTTTATGGCAGTTCTGGAGCCTGAGGTTTGAAGCTGGGTGATGGGACATAATAACCAAAAAGGCAGTCCCTTCTGCTGGGTGACAAGCAGGTTTACCTGGGCCATCTGGGCAGCAGTGTTTCCTTTTGCCCCCAGGAAGACCATGGCCAGGGCTGAGGAGATGCTCACAGGAGAATAGAACACGTTGTGTGAAGGGTTGTCTTGACACAGTATCTTTAAAAGCTGGATGGCAAAGGTGCCATTTGCTTCAGAAAGAGCGTCCATGATGCAGGGTCTGGAACCAGAGCATAAAGAGAAAAGCTGCTTCAACACCCCCCCGCCCCGGCCAACGTTATTAACCTCACATATGGCAGTTTGGGAATTGTACGGGTTGTTTTTTTTGTTTTTGTTTTTGTTTTTTTTAATGATAAAGCTCATAAATATTTTAAGTTGAAGGAAAACCCATTTACTATTGCTCTCCATCCAAAAAGTAAGTCAAAATATTAAGATAATTAGCTAAGTGTGGTACTGGCAGAAGATCGAACCAGCTTGAGAGCCTTGGGGAAAATGAAGAGCACCAGCTCCTGGGCACAGACACACAGCACTCAGCCTCCTGGGCACAGACACACAGCACTCAGCCTCCTGGGCACAGACACACAGCACTCAGCCTCCAGAGATCAGGGAAGTCCAATCTTCTCCACAATACTTTCTTTTTCCATACATTTATGGAGAGAACTTCTGAGAGTTTCAGTTATGCAAAAGACCACAGTCTCCCCATCTATTAGCCGATTCTTGAGAAATGTTTGAGATGCTGGTAAGCGAAGAGAGACAGGCTACAAGTGGGTATGGAACTGGCTGTGAGGCCAGGACCTTTCATCTACAGTGGCTGGAGAGCCAATGTGCTCTCCTGCTGAGCAGCCCTCAGCGCCGCCCCCCCTCCCCCATGGCCAATTAACACCCAACTCAGAGCGCCTGACCATTGCTAGCGGCTAGGCATCACGTGATCCTCAGACCTTGGCACTGAGGGTGAGGAGTCTGGGCGTTTTTGTTTCACAATTTTTTTTGCTAACTCAGAAACACTGATTTGGGAGTTTTGCTCGTTAGTCTCAGAAAAAGCCACTACAGTGGACTGTGCATGAGAAGGCGAAGAGCAGCCCCGGTGGAACACCAGAATGGAGAGGTAAGGAGGAACAGAGAAGGGTCCAAGAGAGAGCAAAATCACTGAGAATGGGGAGGCCAGTATCTAGGTAGCTACAGAGGTCAGAAGCCTAAGTGTGAGGGGGCAGGTCTGCTGACCACACACCGCTCCCATCCCCCAGCCCACATTTCTCCAGGGAATTAGCTAAGGGTGGAAATGACACCCTCACTCACCCAACTGCTGGCCTCACACCCTGGGAGACCTCCCTGACTCCTCCGACCCACCGCTCCTCATCCCCTCAGGCCCATCACCAAGGTTTGCCTTCTGCTGCCTACATGGCTCTTGAACCAGTCTACTTCTCTTGAGCCTGCACCCAGTCTAGACCACCTGATCCCTCTCCCCGCGGACTGAGCCACCACCCCCCCTTCCATCCAGTACACTCCATTCTGACAGGAAAGAGGACCCTTTCAGCCTTCCTCTAAAACCTCACAGGGCCCTTAGTTTAAGCTCGAAGCTCACTTCATTTAAATGGCTTATGCCCCACCCGTCCGCTTCCTCGGCCTCCAGCCTCGGCCTCTAGCCATCCTGACCGCCTTTCTTTCCCTCCAAGTCACCCCTGGGCCTTTGAAAACACTGTTTATCCAACTCCGCGCCCCCCAAACTGATTAACGGCGCCCCCCGCACTCAAACATCCCGGCCTCAGGAGGCTTCCGAAGGCCCGCCCGAGACAGGTCTCCCGTCACCCGCTCCCCTGACCCCCAGCGGCCCCGGCACCCGCCCCTGGAATTCCTGCTTTGGCCCACTGTGGTCCCCCCCAGACTGGAAGCTCATTGTGTAAGGCCTGCCGGGCGAGGGCCTGCAAGAGAGCTCAGGAAACGGGAAGGACTCCAGGAATTTGTGTGGAAGGCCCGCAAGAACTTGGATTTGCAGCGGCAGACTGGTGATTTTAGCAGGGAAGAGGACAAGTAGGGAGATGTCGTTCCGCGCATCCCTAGGAGAGCGAGGAGGTGAGGAAGCAGGGCCGGTGGGAATGCGGCTGGAGGGCGGCGAGCCCGCGTGGAGGAGGCGTGCGAGGGGCAGAGAGAAGACGGGGGAGCGCCAGCGCCTGGGGCTCGCTGGGATCGGGAGGCACGGGCGCCGCCCAGCAGCTGCGCCACCGAGCCCACCGAGCAACTGCGCCACCCAAGCCACCCAGCCCACCGAGCCGCTACGCCACCGAGCAGCTGCGAAGTGAAGGGCTCTCTTTCTGGCAGCAGGGAGAGGGCCAGGTCGGCTCGGGTACGCTCGCGTCCTTGCGTCCTGTCTCCAGGCCGGAGCGCGGGGATTCTCCTCGTCCGCGGTCACCGCCCTGCCCCGGAACGCCCCCACTTGCCCCTTCCGGCACCGCGCCGCTCCTCCCTCCGGGCCCGGATCCCGACGACTCCAGGCCGAGCTCCGCAGCCGCTCCGCGGGTCCCCACTCGGGTGACTGGCACCTGCAGGATTCCTCCCGCACCCAGGACCCGAGACCACCCCTAGGCTTCCTGGCACGGCGGGGGCGGCGCGTGGGCGGTGCCTGGGGGGCGGGGCTCGGCTAGAGGCCGGGGTGTCCCTCCCGGCGCTGGGCGGGGGCCTGGGTCGCCGACACCTCCAGGCCCCCCTGACCCCGCCGCGCGACTGGGACCCTGCAACCTAAAGGGCTGGCGGCGCCCGCGGTCTGCCAGAGGCCTCCGCTCTTCTCCCTCCTCCTCTGCTCCCCCACCCCGCCCCGCCCAGGCTCTTTCTCCCCCTCTGCTCTCCAAAAAAAAAAAAAAAAAATCTTGTTTTAAAAGAAAAAGTATACAATTCAGTGATTTTTAGTCTGTTCACAGAGTTGTACAACTATCACCACGATCTAACTCCAGAACATTGTATCACCTCAAAAAGAAACACCGTGCCCATTAGCACTTACTCTCTATTCCCTCCTGCTCTGGTCCCCCCCGGCAACCAGGAAGCCATTCTGCCTAGGTTCGTTCGCCTATTGTGGGCATTTCCCATAGATAGAATCATATATGATAATAGAGTCTTTTGTGACTGCCTCCTTTCACTTAGCACAGTGTTCTCAAGGTTGATCTTTACTGGTTCAAGGTGACAATCATCTGTATTTCATTTCTTCTTATGACTGATAATATAATAATATAAAGTGCGTACACATATATATCCATTTTGACCATTCATCAATTGGGAGACAATTGGCTGTTTCTCTCTTTTGTCTGTTATGAATAATGCTACTATGAACATTCACATATAAAATTTTGTGTAGACATCTATTTTCATTTCTCTTGAGTCTATACCTGGAGTGGAATTGTTAAATCATATAATAAGTCTATATTTAACTTTTGGAAGAAATGTCAAAACATTTTTCAAAGCAGGGGCACAATTTTACCACCATCATTGTATGTGGGTTTCAGTTTCTCGACATCTGTCTTTTTTAATTTTAGCCATCAGAGTGGGTGTGAAGTGGTATCTCATTATGGCTTAGAGTTGTATTTCCATAATGATTAATGTTGAGCACTCAAAAATATTTTTCAAAAATGAAGGTGAAATAAAGCCTTTTTCAGACAGACAAAATCCAAATGCTTTCATCACCCACTGACCTTGCACTTCAAGAAGTGCTGAAGTAATTCCTTCAGGCAGGCAGACTAAAGATGACAAAGAAATAAGGATCTACCCAAAGGAAGGAGAGCACTGGAAATGAGAACTATCAGGTAAATACATATAAGACTCTTTTTCTTATTTCTTAAATGTCTTTAAAGGATAACTGTTTTAATAAAAAGAGTAACAGTGTATCATGGGGTTCATTAACACGTATGAAAACAACAGCACAAAGGACGGCAGAGTCCAATTCTAAAAGTTATGGGGAAATGCAAAGTACCCCAAATAGCCAAAACAATTTTGAAAAATAAGAATAAAACTGGAGGACTAACATTACCTCAAAACTTATTGTTAAGCTACAATAATGAAGATGTTGTAGTATAGGCATCAAGAAAGACATTAGATCAGTGGAATCAAATATAGTCCAAAAATAGAGCCATATGTATATGATCAATTGATTTTTGAAAGCGGTGCAAATACAGATCAGTGGAGAAAGGATGGTCTTTTCAACAGATGCAAAATGAGCTCAAAATGGATCATAGGCCAAAATGTAAAATATTAGGGTATAATATTTCTTGAAGAAACTTAAGAGATAATCCCTGTGACCTTAGCTTCAACAGTTATTAGATAAAAAGCACAATACATAAACAAAAAAAGGTTGAATAAACTGGACTTCATTAAACTTAAGAACTCCTCTTTGAGAGGCACTGTTAGCAAAATGAAAACTCAGACCACAAGCTGGATGAAAATATTTGCAAATCATATATCTGATTAAGGACTTGGTATCTATAAGAACTCTCAAAATGCAATAAACAAGTGCCTTTCCAGTCCTGTGGATTAAATTTTTTTTTCCAAATCCATTTTAGAAAGCACAGCCCCTGAAATGGATGTGGTCTAACAGGGAACACAGTCTATCTTGGTATATTTTAATAAGAGCTGCAATATAAATGATAAGTGGGTCAGGTAAGAGGCTGATGAACTGTGAATCCAAATTTGAACCAGGAGCAACCATGCTTCAGTCCAAATCAAAGAATAAGTCAGTGGTAGCATAAGTGGGAGTGTAAATCAGTACTTTTTGGAGACCAGTTTGAAGAAGCCTCAAAAAGTGCCCAACTTTTGTCTCAACAGTACTGTGTTTAGGAAAATTTCCTTTAGAATATTAAGGATGTAAGCAAATAATTAGGATATTCGTAACAGTGCAGTATATAATATAAATAATTTTAATTACCCAAATTGTCTACGAGTAAATATCACAAGAAATATGGACAATCCCACCATGGAATTGTATGCATATCAACATTGACCATGTGGAAAGATGATCACCTAGAGGAGGGTTTATAGTAAGGAGGGGCTACGAAAGTCTATGACTAACTTGTGGGAAAAGATGATTATAAGTTTATATTCACATACAGATGTTGGTTCAAGACCCCCTGGGAGCTTCCCTGGTATGATCTGAAACCAGCCTCATGTTCAGAGACTGGGGAGAGACTGAAGAAAGAGGCAGGCACTCCAGCTTGGTAGGTGGCAGTTTTATTAAGCAAAGGAAACTTACATACAAGGCTTGTCTTGGGCAGCAGCAAGATGAATGGATCCCCACAGCCACCCACCAGATCTTCAAAAGTTTATAAAGAGGCCTTAACTGGGTTCAGTCACATATACCATGCAGGTGTTTTCCACACCACATCAGTATCTCAAGACTATGTCCTTGGGGGCAAAGGCAAGCAAAGCCCACATTCCAAGGACAGGGGGGAGGCTGTCGAGCCTCCAGTGCCAGTGTCCAGCTCGCGACCTTCCCCAACAGCATAGACTAGGGAAGGAGATACATATACGTGTATCTCCCCATCAACAGTGGTGATCGCTAGGTGTGGATTTGCAGACAACTTAAATTTTCTTCATATTTTCTACAGTTTCTAAATTTCTGCCACAACACATACTCATTTGTAATCAAAAAAGGTATTAATGTAGGGAGGTCCTTTGTTAAGCAAGGGAGACGCTTGAGCTACATGTGGGATTACACGGGCCATGGCTCCCAGGAGTTGGTGAGTTTGTGCGGGTTTCTTTGCGGGCTTTAGGAGAACCAGGCAGAGTTTTGTGTGTGGTTCCAGGGTACAGGGATGGAGAGGACTGTGGGCATCCGCTTCAGAGGTCCACCTCCTAGCCTGAAGCTCATTGCCGAAGCTCATTGCTAAGCCCCTGGGCCTGTATCTGAGTTGTTTTCACAAGGGACTCTCTGAGATGTGGAGCATGCAGAGCTCTCTGTGTGACACTGAAGAAGACACTGAGAGACACGGTCTCAATTGGGGAGATAGACCCTGGGTGGCTGCAGGGCTAACATGTCAAGATCTCTGGAATTGCGAGCCATGGGGCCTGGGCACTGGCATCTCCTGATGAGGTTGGCAGGGGTGGGTGGCAGAGCTCTGAGGTGATCCTAGGACAGAAGAGCAGAGGACTGGACCATGGGTCCCTGAGACACCCCAAGGACACCCACAAATAATGAGCACAGCCTGGGAAGGGAGCCATCTCAGGTTATATAGGGAGGGCAGAAACACTCAGGGACACCCTGAATACTGCAAAAGAAGCATAGTGTTCTCAGCCCCAAACTTCACACATCTGAAGCCTCCGTTATTCAAGCAGCCCCAGAATGCTCAGAACAAGCATTCACAAATCTGCCCAAGTGCACACATTTTATTTTGCTGTTCGAACCACTGCACTGATTTGGTCACACAAGATTTAAGTTAAGTCATGGTAAGCAGAAGGGGAAGGGAGCTCATGGACAGCTACTGTACCTTTTATGTGCCTTCATCACTGGGTCGCCTCTGCAAGGTGTCTCTGCATGACCTTGGACGCACACTCAACATTCCAGGAAAGTTGGCCTTGGCTTCCTCAAACACACCAGTCATTGCAAAACTTTGGAGAAAAGACTGCAAGCCATAACTCTCCAAAACTCAAACTCTCTTTAGTGAGCTTTTCTGGATTTGCCCAGGCTCTGAACTCAGATGTCAGTGATTTTTCCACGTGGAAAAACAGAGTTAAATGGTAAAATCCAGACGACAACAACATGTGCCCATGCACACACTTATTATTCCCCACCTGTCTCCCAGCCCCACACCCCCTGTGCAACTAGGTGGTAAGTTCTGGTCCAAGACAATGTACAGATATTTTTCTTCTTATAAACACATCAAGACTCTTCCCGAGTTCTTGTGTTTTCCCTGTCCTCCCTAGGACACTAGAGTAAAACAACTGGAAAACAACTGAGACCAGCAGAGGTTTTCTTTCTTTTTTATTTTTTTTTAAGATTTATTTATTTATTTTAGAGAGAGAGAGAGAGGGAGAGAAAGAGCATGAGCAGGGGGGGAGGGGGGCAGAAGGAGAGAGAATCTCAAACAGACTCCCTGCTGGATGCGGAGCTTGATCCCTCGACCTTGAGATCATGACCTGTGCCAAAATCAAGAGTCGGATGCTTCACCGACTGAGCCACCCAGGTGCCCCCAGCAGAGGTTTTCAAAAAGAACTATTTTCCCTAAACACATTTAAAATATTTAATTTCAAAATTCTCATAACCAATTGTTACACTTATATTTGTTCTATACACATTACTGTGAGTTGAAGGACAGTCTGACAAAGGAGAGGCCAAGATCAGGGCTTGGACCTCTGACTGTGGAAGAGAAGGAAATCAAGGAAGGGTGCTGTGCTTCCTGTGAGCCCAGAGGGAAATGGGAATTAGAGGAGTGTAGCTTCAGGCATCCCTGTTTGCCCTCACACTTCCTGCTTGCCCTGGAGTTAGCTTCTGGTCCCCCAGGAGCTGTCACTCATTCTGTGCATCCACAAAGAAGGAAGGAAGGACAGAGAGGGGGCCTCCATTTGTATCTGCTCCTCCCCTTACCTAGAGCCCCAGTAAGTGCCCCTCTTCAGTGACAGCTCATGGGATATCAGCTCTAGTCCCAGTCTCTCCTAATTTTCTTCAAGTAGCCATGACAGATCTCATCCATGGCCCCACAGGGAAGTGCATTCTGGTCCCATGAGAGAAGGCGGGGAAATCAGGCAGGCCCCCTCAGCATCCTGGGCAGTGGTGAG